CGCGTTTACAAATTCTGGATCCGCCAGTGACCCTCCCTCTCTCTCCAGTGACCCTCCCTCTCTCTCTCTCTCTCACTCTCTCTCTCTCTCTCTCAGACTGACACAGACTGTGAGTTTATGTTTGTTTTCATTTGTCCCGCCACTTTATTGAACTTTTCACAAATCCACGAACAAATTCACTTTTTAAGAGTCAATAAATTAAACATAGAACGATGCGTTGTCGAAAACAAAAACATCACTTTCTCTTCATATAGAAAACAAAAGGGGAAAACAAAAAAACACACCATATAAAATATACAAAAAGCTATTCAGTAAAAAAATATGTTTCCAACGATACTCCAATCTCACGTATAATAAATAACAGCTATAACACTCATACGTGTGCTGTAAGGAAAAGATTGGAAGAAGACTAAGGCCATGTTGATTTGATTATATAGATGACATCCACGCGCGCATGAATTTTCGGCCGTTTCCAAAAAAAAAAGTTTTCAACCATACTGTAAATCGTACAAAACAGTTGCAAAATGAGCAAAAATATACCGTAAGTTAAAAAAAAAACTATACCAATGTCGTAGAATGCCAAAATCAAACGAAAAGAGACGAAATTGTAAGGAAATGAACTTGAAGATTAGATCATTCGCCAAACCATATTCTGTCCCATTTGTTCAACCCTCATGACCACGTAGATTTCATAATGAAAACTAACTTTTTTTTGCAAAACTTTTTTTATTCGCACGCGCGCATCAGTTTTGGGGCTCCCGGAGGATGTCATCCATATAATCAAATCAACATGGCCTAAGGTAAAACTTGACAGATGATTCTTACATTATATAATCTGTCACTACTATCATTCCTCAAAAGCTAATATGAATATGTTTCTAACAACACGTATAATACTATGCAATTATTCCTATTTATTGAGAAGCCTTTTACTTGTATTTCTTTACATGCACATCATACTCTGCTAGTTTTAATGAGAGTCATTGTCCGGATGTGTGGGAATGAACTCCAAATCTTCCATGAATCTAACGTGTTTCTCTTTCTTCCGACTGACCAATGCCTCCCACATAACAATAGAAAATGTCCCTATCAATACACACGTCAGGCCAAATCCATCAAAAATAGTCGGAGCAAATCCGAGAATTGCCCACTGTAGTCCGAAGGCCGAAAACACATTGATTTGCGTCAGGGCAGTAGCAGCGTTGACCTCAACCAGCTTCAGGCCAGCGTATAGTAGCACGGTTCCTCCGAACTTACCTAAAAGGCCTGCACACAAGACTGCGGCACTTGTTGGCTCAAGAAGCCACGTTTTACTGGTATAAATCGTTGATAAGCCCGACAAAACTGTGGCTATGCTGTAAGCGTAGGTCAAAATCATCGTTCTCGTCGTGCCGGATGACAGTAGGCCTTTGATGTTAACGATTAGCATAGCGGAAATCAAGCCTGCAATGATGGCCAGCGTCATTCCTAGACCAACATCGTCTGAGTCGACTGTCGTGGCCGGTACCTCGTTGATCATGCCGCTATAACCAAGTAGCGCTACACCAGCTATGCACCATAAGCTACCAAATATGGTGGCATATGTCGGGATCTGAAATCATGAAACAGGAACGACATTTAGTCACTACGTTTACACACTGCAAAGATAGAAAATAGCGAAAACTTGGTTTTGAAAATGAAGACCACAAGAATGTTTTCATTCATTTTATTGTTTCCTGTCATTGGGCATTGCAAAAAATTCGCAACTTACCTCTTGAAGAAAAAGGCAGGAAAAAATCGCAACGAAGACGATTGTGCCTGGGTTTATCACCGTGTCTGCGTTGGCTGGAGGAAGGTACTGATAGGCAGTGAACAGGCAAAAGAGGGCGACGAAACGACCTACTCCTTGGAAAACCAAGAGGAAGGCTTGTTTGTAGTTAGTTGGTATGAGGTTCGTCTTGTTGTAAACAACGACGCACAGAACCACTGAAATCAGTAGCAGGTCGCTGAAGAAGTTCAGCTGCAGCGCCGTGTATCCCCTGTCTAGTGCATATCGAAACGTTGCCGGCACCAAACCTGTGCAAATCCCAGAGGCCAGGCAGGCGGCCACACCCAAAAAATTCTGTGGAAAAACACAGGCATAAATCATTATGAAGTACTGTGTAATGTATGGCTTAATGTTTTGTTTTGCTACAGTGCTGTAGATAGCAATTAACCAATGTAAAATTGGACGGGACGCATAGATTCTAGTGCCCACACGCCAACATTTATGTCGAATGACGTCTAAACGACTTGAGCCAGAAACACAAAACTTGGTGACTTTCATATTTATCCAGAATATATGTTTCTCCAGAGACCCTGGATTGTTTACTTCCAGACAGGGTGCATAGACAATAGGACAGTATACTGTGTACGTGTTTTTACACAGTTTAATGGACAGTGTGCAAATAGCTGTTGGGCAAGCTTAGGACATGTACATAAAGATGCCTAAATGGGTGACTGTTTCTTTCCATTTCATGAGTCACATTTTTAATTATCACCACTCCTGGTGATGAACGTAACTACCTTGTATATATATATTTTAATGCTGAATGCAAATCGTGAAATTTAGCTACTATATCGTAGTACATAGCCACCTAAGATTACAGTAAACTTTTTGGCACGTGCACACCTGTGTGCACCTATGCCCTACTTATTCACTGTCCGTTTAAAATGTGACTTAATTGCCTGTCATTCTATAATGTTGCATTCTTGTTTGTTTGTATCTGCTTGCCATTCTTGTTTGTATCTGTCATTCAATGTTGCATTCTTATTTGTTTGTTTGTTTGTATCTTTAGATAAACATATACTCGTATTGTGGGGGAAAAGTCGCCAAGTTTGGTGGTTCTAGCTCAGAGCAAAAGCCGCTCAGACGTCATCTGACATGAAAGTTGGAACACCTGAACTACCTTTCTGTGTAACACACAAGAGTCTCGCAGTAGACACAATATCTGACTATAAGATTAATGGCCCCTTCACAACAACGTGAATCCTTACTCTTTTCTATGTATAATTACACCAGGCCTAGGGGTATACTAGTTTGTCACATCTGTTATCCGAATTCCACAGAGCAACTTCAAGACATGTGAAATGATGTGACTATACATGTACAATAAAATAAAACACGAGAAATGGAGAATTAGAAATGTGAATCACGCATAAAATGTGAAGAAACAGACACTGGCTGTGCACGCTGTCATGTTGGTATATTTATGTATGTGTCATTGCCCTATACTAGTATTTGCACACTGTAATTAAAACAATGTGAATCAGGCAGGAAATGGGAATAAACAAACACTCTGTCTGTAAACGTTGTCGTTTTGGCATCTTTATGTATATGTCCTTGCACACTGTTCATTAAACTGTGTAAGCACACGTAGTACTACTACACCATACAATGTCCTATTGTCTCTGTAATCCGTCTGACCCCATTTCTGTCAACCAAAAATCATTCTTCAACTGTTTTCAGTGCAGTTCTGGATTGTACAGTCGTCATGTAATAACTTCATATTGATCATATTTTGGACTAATTTGACAATGATACTTTTCCATTTTATCGGTAGTTACTTTATGTTGCGTTATGTTCCGTTTTTCCATCAAATTCACATAAATGTATGTCACGTCAAGGAGGTTTAAAAGAGACTCTTTTAAACCTCCTTGGTCACATTTATACACAACCCTAACTACAAGTCTGCTTGCCATCTATTTTGAAAACACATTCAACATTATCGGACTTCATCAAGTTGATTCATGGATTATGGTTATTCTAAGCAGACACATCGTTTGCTTGCGAATCAATTCCTTATGTTGACTGACTTTTACAATGACCGTGTTTATCCTTTGTGCATGATTTAGCTAGACCTACCAGTGAAGCCAAACATAGAGGAGCCTACCTTAAACCAGAAGCACCAATTCAAGCTCTTTCTCCGATCGTCATAATCTCCATCTTGGAAAAGTCTGTCCAACTTCTCGCCGTAAAAAAACGGAGTCATTGTTCACGCTTCTGCTGTTCCCTGGAGCAGAAACGACATCGTAATTTTCTTCACATGTAAATTGCGTGCTCACCGAGACAATACGAACACACCACACTAACACTTTGTCCTCTGTGCAGATGTTATCATATCTACGAATAACATTTAACTTTAATAGAAGGGTTTCTGATGAAATGCATCTACACAACTTTAGGCTCTTGCTTCAATGGCTGAGTTGTTGGAATGCGCTTCAAGACATAGCTTGAAGGGATTTGAGTTTTTGTTACTCTCTAAAGGGATTTGATATTTTCCCTTCTGTCTAGATCTCCACCAAATTCCTACAAGACAGATTGAACAGCAATTTCACGTAAGACAGTAAGGTCACACACATGTACAAAGTTTTAGACCTTCTCTAACCCCGCTGAAAATGACTGCGATGGACCTACCTTTTGGGGAACGGGTGTTCCGAGAACACTGGTTCCCGATCTGACGGAGGGAAGCTGACAATTGCACGACCCATCACCGTCCCATGTTCAACCGGTCTGTGCAGATTGCACACGTCATTTGTAGGATGCGAAATGATGCGTAACGAAAGCTTGTGAGTCCAGAGTAATCTATACCCCTGTGCGAGAGTAAATAAAGGAAGTTTAAAACAACTAAAGGAAGAAAATTGGCCTGGCTGTCTCCAACCGTTCGACAGAAAAGTCGCGCGCCAAACGCCTACTTTTATGGAAACGCTGCACAATGAACCGGATAGTGAGTCAGTGTGTCACTCTTTCACCCCCTCACTATCCAGCATTTGATTATTCTTCTGCTGGTGTCCCTGCCACAGGGGTCGGCAGCAGTCCGACTAGTAGTACAATGTACTGGTTGTACTGGTCTTCACCCAGGCGGCCCTATTCAGCGCAAGGCCGCACTCTCTATATAAATGTCTTTCTTGACACACTTTATCCACTACGACAGGTGTTGTTTGGTCTACCCTGATCTCTGCTGCTAGGCAGCTGCAGTTCAGTGATGTTATACAGCCACTGCCCCGTTTAATAGATACTAGTAATAGATATGCCAATAGATAAAGTTCATGACTGTATTTGTGTTCCACCTTGCAATGGATTATGGAACAGTTGACTATAACAAGATTCTGACAAGGGAGTTTATGCATGTACGTCTTTATTTATTCAAACACATTATTGAATTTTGTACAAATCTACGAACAAAGTCACTTCTTTAAGTGTCAATAAATTATACACAGACTGATGCATTGTTGAAACGAGAGCATCACACTCTCGTCATACACAAAACAAAACAAAACGGGCTCAATACCACACAACTGAAAATCTACCTAAAGCTATCTCTAATCAGGAGAAAACGACACTCAAATCCTTTGTACAATTACTGTAGCTGCAGTGATAAAGGACAACTCATCCTAATACATGTAGCTAGCTGACAGTCATATCTTCAATAGCATCTCTATAATAAAAAATTGTAATCTGGCTAGTTTTCTCAAAGCTAGCCAGTAACTTTACATCTGCTTGGAGTATGATGATCTCCATCATATGTGTATAATTACTAAGATGGCTTTGTGTATCCTTTGGTATCTGTGGAATGGCTAACTTAAAAACAATTCTGAAAATCCTACGAAGAAACATTGTTTGTTGGCTAGTTGACACACACACAAAAAAACCCAGCCAGTTGAAACATCAAAATTGATAAGCTAATTATGTTTAACCATGAGCAGTAGTTTTCATCAAACGTTTCATCATGTTAGGAAGCTGCATGTCATAATTTCTATATACAAACACAGTAAACGTTAAAAGTGAGAATGTTGTATATACCGTAAATAATTTCATCAGGTTGGAAGATACTTAGGGTATAGAATTTTCTTCTTACACAACCAGTAAGGTTCTCACCTGCTTACGTTTCGATGTCTATCAGACACCTTCCTCAGAGATTCTGA